CCCCCCCCCGCCCCCCACGAGAGAATGAGAAAAGCCTCCGTGGACGGCCGTGTCGAGTGCTGGTTTATCAGTGACGTCAACAAGTTTTCTCGAACACTTTCACCGCAGTCGTCGTCGTGTCGAACACGATGGTCGACACGGTCGTTGTCGTGTTGAACACGATGGTCGTCGTGTTGAACACGATCGTTGTCGTGTCGGACACATTGGTCGTCGTGTCAAACACGATGGTCGTCGTGTTGAACACGATCGTTGTCGTGTCGAACACGCTGGTCGTCGTGTCAAACACGATCGTCGTCGTGTTCGACACGGTCATCGTCGTGTCGAGCACGATGGTCGTCGTGTCGAACACGATCCTTGTTGTGTCGAGCACGATCGTCGTCAGGTCGAACACAATCGTCATCGTGTCGAACACGGTCGTCGTCGTGTCGAACACGCTCATCGTCGTGTCCGGCTCGTTGTCGTGCACGACCGTCATCGTGAGTCGTCGTGTCGAACACGACCGCCATTGTATCAAGCACGGCCATCTTTGTGTCCGACACGATCGTCGACGACGGTCGTCGTGTCCGGCACGATGGCCGTCGGGTCAGACACGGTGGCCGTTGTGACGAGCACGGTGGTCGTCGTGTCCGCCACGGTCAAACGCGATCTTGGTCGTGTCGAACGCCATCACGGTCGTGTCGAACACCCTGCTCTTTTTCGCCACGACCCCCACCTATGTTTCGACTTGCACAGAGTTTAGTGCGAGTTGCGCCAGCAGAACATAGTGCCCGGGTGACTGTCTTTTGTCTCTTGTAGCACTGACTCCTTGTTGCGAGATTGCGCCACGACCCCCACCTTGTAATATACAATGGAGCTCCTGTCGTGTTGGGCGCGACATTGGCGTTGCGGCAGTCGTTTGCCTTCTCAGCCTGGCTATCTGGAAACCTGTCGTGCGCCGTACAACGAACTCTGTGCGAATTTTGCTTCGAATCCTTAGAGTCTGATACCCGAGAATCAAGACGGGGGACCCTTCCGTGTGGGGCGAGTCCACGGACCAGGCCGCACGGACTGTTCATCTGCCGTCCTCTTCAGTTGACGCGGGGAGCTCAGTGAGAGTCCACGGACTGTTCATCTGAGCTCAAAATTGTTATGAAAGAACGAATTCTTTTAGAGCAGTTTGGCTGATCCAATCTGCGATTGCAAGTGCCGAAATGCGGCGTAAGCCCTTCTACAAGATTGATTGTCTTCAGGGTGTTACTGCTCTGATCCGCAACTCACACAAAGCAACCCTATACGGGTATAGCGCTTGGAAGTTCTCATTTAACTCTTCTGAAATATGCACATGCAGAAAGATAGGATACATGCCATTTTTTTTTCCCTCAGCTGATTCTACCACATGCCTCCCCATATTTGGTTCCGGCAGGATTCGGACTTGCCCGATCAATTTGATTATTTTCCTCACGTTACCCTGAATCGTTAATTCCGACGGTTGTTCCTCAACCGTGGTGGTTGGTAGGCTTAGTGCCCCAGGGCCTGAGGACTGAGTAAAGGTAAGCACCACGGGTCCTTGATCCGAGGAAATGCAGATCAAAGGCACCATGTATTCCTCAATTTTTCCTTTTTCTTTACGGGACAGGCTCTTCATCGGTTGTGCTTCTGTTAGGGCTGCCCCTTTGGCTCCTTTGTGGGGTCTCTTATCTTCACCTCTCCGCAGCGCGAGAGGTGGCTGGGTGGTGGAGGCGTCCCCTCCAGACTTGGAGGCGTCTTTCAGAAAAAGATTCCGATTTGCAGTTTTTGTCGCCTCCTTCCCATTCCCCAGTCCATTGGTCCGTGTTTTTTTCTGTGCCGAAGATGCTTTCTGAATTTTTTTTTATTTTTATTTTTTTTTTAACAAACACGCCCTCGCCAGTGTTAGTGCTGCTGATAAAAGCAGACACCACTAACACCAGGAGGGAGGCTCCATCTATTGGTGGGGAGCATCACCTGCTGGAAAACGGGTCCAGCTTCCCATATACAGAAATTGAGAATGTCTAAGAACAATGAGAATAGTGACTGTGAGGTCTGCTAGCATTGATTGCCCTGCACCTCAGGGGATTGACTGAGCAGCCTTAAATAGTGACCTCTTCACCTTCCCATATGCAAAATTGAGAATGCCTGAGGACAGTGAGAACAGTGACTGTGAGGTCTGCCAACATAGATTGCCCTGCACCMCAGGGGATTGCCTGAGAAGCCTTTTTTTGCTGGGAACCGACTGTATGCAGATCTTGATTATGAGTCCTGCCAAAAAAAAAAAAAAAAGAGTCCTGCTAGGCAGTGCCAGCATTGATTACCCCGTGTCCCAGGGGATTGATTGCACAGGCCTGTCTAATGTATCATTCTTACATGCCTTCCAACATTGATTACCCTGAGTTCCCAGGGGATTGATTGAGCAGGAGAGAACCTGGACATGACCACTATTATTCCCTTTCATGCTAGGGTACCAAGCTCCGATCGTGTCATTATTGGACCGGCCTGATGTGCAAGGGGGCAGACTGGGGTCGTGTCATTCTGCTTCAAGGGGGCGACTGGAGCAGACTGTCCGTCCTCCCTCTACCCTTACTCTTCATGAACGGTTCAATGAAGTCACTATTGGAGATGTTACCCTGTATCACGGTCATACCAGCTCAATTCCATCAAGACATTGTTGGCCAAGGGGAAGAGGTCACGGAATTCCGAGGTAGGGGGAGTGAGATGTTGCTAGGAATTGCAGTCCAATCGTGGAAGGTCAATCGGTAGTTTTTCTGTGATGTGTCCAGCCGATCGTTGCCATCCAGGTGCCAGCCATCCCACTGAATCTTTGCTATCCATCCTCCCTGTTCTCCCCCCAGCCAGTCCATGCAGAATTCATGTAGTTTTTGGACAATGTCGGATGTTTTGGTGAGGGCTAACATTGTTTGCACAATTTTTTTCCACTGGGCTCTGATTTTTGTTTTTATTATGTCTTTGATCATGTTCATCATCTCGCTGCTTTCCACATGGGCGTCTTCCAGTGCTAGAGTGCATTTGCGACGCCATATGGCCCATAGGACCGCGCCCCTTCCGACCTTAAACAAGTTGGCCGTAAAGGTCGAGGTTTGAGCGGTCCAATGCCCGGTTAGTAAGGCTCTCCATTCCCACGGCCAATCGCTATCTGTGCCTAGCTAGTCCCAAATCCGAACCCACCCACGCCAAATGAGGATTGAGGCAGGGCATTGCAAGAAAAGGTGTTCTATTGTCTCATTAACTTTTCTGGAGGGAAATCCTTCTTTGCAGGCCAGGCACTAGGGGAGGGCCACACCTTTCTGTTCCAGGTGGGTGTGGTCAATGAGCCATGCATTTGTGGGTAGGCAGTGATGATTGATTTGCCATTGGAGTGAGGCAGTTTTGACTGGTTTGACTTTTATCCCTTTAAACCATTTGATGGGTGTCAATGAACTCAATGGGACATTTAAATGTCTTGCCCAACGATCCACTATACGGTCTTTCAGGTTGATTTTGGCCCTAAGCATCCGATAGGAGGCCTTAACCCCCAGTGAGTAGAAATATCGATATTTCGGTATGTCGTTCCTCGTGGGAATCTTCCATCTTCACTCGGCAGCATCTAAGGGGAGGTCCTGGATTGGCACCTCCGGTCTAAATGCCACCTAGGAGTCCCCATCTCGTAGGACCCTCACTCTATGGAGTATTCCAACATCAATCCAGAAGACTTCATCCAGCCCTCCCCTGATCAGTCCATTTTGCTGTGTTCGATAGAAAAAGTGTACCAGCACTTCCCCTGGTCTGCCTATAATTACTTGTCCCACCCGCGTTGCATCCCCTCTTAATACAACCTAGTCACCCTCCTCCACCGTTGGTCATCGCCAAAGGGTCCTCAGCCATGCAAGAGGGAAAGCGAAGAGGATCTGGTCTAGCCTCTCGTCTATTCTTTGGCAGTGGGTAAGCTTTGTTCTCAGCTGTTCCTTTGTGACCCTGTTAGCCCTGGTTTGGTCCCAGAGATCCCCTACCCTCATGACCCCATTTCTTACCCATCCCTTCTACGGACGGCTGGTGCATGCTTCCTGAAGATTACTTCCCCGGATCAAGCATTCGGGTGTGGGTTCAGATACGCCTATAGTTTCTACGAGGTCCTGAAGTAAGGGATCTTTCTCTGAGATTGCGACGAGATAGAATTGGACGGGAAGAAATACACCTTGCTTTTTAAACCTTGGATGTGAGAAAGAGAGTTGTAGGAATGGAGAGCAAAATTGAAAATTGATTCCTTCCGGATTAGATGCTTGCGAATTCCCTTAGCAGCTTTACCTATCCTAAAAGATGCGGTGGAACTAGTTTTTGGTAAAGTAATCAAGGAGAACCCAGTCTCAAAGAAACTGGAGGAACCGGAATTGGTGAGCGTCAGATTTGATCTGGAACCTTCGGCCAAAGAAAAATACACAAGATATCTGACTGTGGATCTACCCAACAATGGGGGTTCAAT